TGTGTGCTGGAGGTTGTATAGTGACATACAGTTATTGTATGTATATATATACAAACATTTACAAAAGTAAAGGTCAAAGGTCAAGTGACCTAACTATTGCACTCTGCACTCCGTCGTCCCAAGATATCCTTACATGTACACCAAATCTGGTTACCCCAGGTGAAATAGTACCCAAGATATGCCCCGAACAAACTTCTAGAACGGAAGAACAAAGGGACAGAAAGATGGAAGGATGGAAAGACGGAAGGACAGCCATAAGGACATAATTAAGGGAGTGCAAACCTATAGTCCCCTCCCCCCCCCCTCCGGGAACCGGTTGGGGACTGATATTAATAGCCTGCTATAATACTCTACATTTAATAAAGTGGTGACTACCTTTTGAGTCCCCTATAAGGGGGCATCAGTTTGAGAGACCAAAGGGGACAGCAGTCTATGAGAACAAAAACATTATTTTTTCTTCTGTGTCAAAACTATAACATTTTCTTTGTGTTGACACTCTAAAATCACCTTTTGAAGAATATGGCCCCATCATCTGTGGATACCACTATCATACCATCTTAAATATTAGCCAATGTGTAGGTGAATTAACCCAAAACAAACAAACAAACAAACAATTAGCTTTGTTTGGAACAAAGACATCTTAAATTTTACAACAAGGATATATTTAAGATTTTTTTTTTAAAAAATTTCCAGATTAGGTTATTTATTTTCTACATCCATTTGGTTTCAAACATAAATCTTTCTGGTTGAAAGTAAACTTTTTGACAATTTTCAGAACAGGTAAGTTTAAACACTTGGATGGATGATTCATTTGAAAAGTCATATCCTGGCAATTGTGATTTGGGACATGTACTTACTTTTGGATACTGTCCTGAATGTAGCTAACAGAGGATCACTCCGCTCACTACCACTGACAGTGGTTATAGAGATGTTGTATCGCTGTCCGTCTAGTACATTAACTGTATAGGTTATAGATTCTGTAGATGTGGTGGTGGGACTAAGTACCGGTGTCGTTGTGACGTCATAACTAGTTTTAATACCACTAGGAAGGCTCCAGGATAATGTTATCTGAGGACCGTCTACATCTGTCGCTGTAAACCCTGATGGTGTAGATGGTTCTGCAAGGAAGGGTAGTTGTGTTGTTATAATACATTAATAACATACTTTATCTACAATGTTATTAAATTATGAAATTAAGCGTAATATCCAATATAATTGTGATCATAAATTCTTTCATACAGGGTTGTATTCCCTCACATGATTGAAGTTTCGTTATTGCAGTATAAACCTGGTAGACTTGTTGCAGGAATTTAAGTGGATTCCATCATGAAATTACCTCATTGCATTGGGATATACTGATGCCTTAGACGGAAAACACTTGGAAAACTTGCAGAAAAGGGCCCTAAATATGTAAATCAGTTTAGCAGGAATCTATATATGAACTAAAAATCTACCTAAACTCTCCTATATATAGTATCCACCTAAACTCCACCTAAAATCCACCTAAATGTCTACCTCAAATCCACCTAAATTCCATTCAAAATACAAAAAAAATAGACTTCCTGTTCTTGATTGAAAACTTGAAGCCGTTAGAAACTTATCCCCTTTTGATGCAGGATATGACGAAAGCTGCATCAGTGTACATGTATAATTTTATGTACTTTTGTATACATACAACAGAGACCAGCTTTAATGCCTCTGAGTATTATAACNCACCAACGAGTTAATCAAAAGTATTTGCAGTAGAATTCAGATCATATTATGTGAAAATTAATGATATTTCTAAAGCTGTTGATTTTGATCAGATTAGTTAGTACTAAAGGTAGTTCACAAGTCATCAAGGATTGTTATTTGTCACCAGTTTTCCTTTCCTTACAAGTTGATAAAAATAACAACATATATCACAACAAATTAAGACTTCACCAATAGATTAACTACCTTCAATAACAATATAAACAAAAGATGAAGTTATTCTAAAGTTACATAATTATTGGTTTGTTTATACACCAATTTTCACATGCAGTAATAATGACACCAGTGGGTTATTGCTTCCTTTGCTTATACTCAAGGGAGTCAACTCATCCTGATGTGTTATAATAAAAAGAAACAAGAGATCCTAGAAGGATCTTGGTGCCCACCATCAAAGGATCATCAGATATACAAAAGATCTTTTACCTTCCTTGCTCTTCATTTTCTTTACATATTAGAAATCCTGAAGGGGAATTTTCACGTCAAATGTTATATTTCACTATATTTACATTTCCACTGCACAGAGCCTAGATGATTCTATTGAGCCCAATGTATGTTATTTCCGTATAACATACATTGGACTATTGTGACGTCGCTATGCTTATGACGTCATAACTGTAACATTGGATATTGCACTGCTCCACTGTCAACTAGTGGCGGTTCTCTGTATGGATTTACCCTGACGTTGAAATGTGTTCAGACTAATATTATGTCTTTATTTCTGTGTGAACTGTAAGTTGATTAACAAAAAATGTAAATATAAGTATTGGTTGTCATATTTTTGACAGGCATTGGTATGTTACACACAAATGCATGTCAAAAATATGACAACCAATCCTTAAATGGCAAATGTTATTGTGTTGGAATCGGATAACTATATGCAAAATGTTAAAAAGTTGTACTTCTTACACAATTAGAAGTGCTGTCAATAAGGGATACATTCTCATTTGGGCCAGGAGTATTTTTATCAAAAGGACCAGGGAAACATACATATAAAGATCCCTCCAGTGATTTCTAAGAATAACAAATCTTATATAATAAACACTTTCATCTAGGCTGTTGACAGTGGTACAGGTAAGGTCAGGTTCTAGCTGTGTCCTGTGACATAAGCAAAGCCTTTGACAAGAGTATCGCACAAGGGTCTATTATTCTTTATCAAAGTTTGGGAGCTACTTCCAGGTTCTTATAGAAGGAAGCTCTTCAACTTCAAAAGAGTTACAAGCTGGGGCTCCACAGGGTTCAATACTGGGACCACTCCTTTTTATTATTGTAATGCCTGTCTTTAACAGTTTGTAGATGATACATTCCTTTTTTTTATTGTTGAAAATCCTAAGAGTGCAGCAGATGATTTAAATTCTGAGCTGAACAAAATTAGCACGGAGGCTAGTAACTTTCAATCCCAATAAAACTGAAAGTATGGTCCTTACAAAAAAGAGAATGGCAACAGTTCGTCCTCGCCTATTTATGAACAATATTCAAATACAGCATGTCCAACAACACACACATCTGGGAGTAATTATAGACGGAAACTGTTATTGGCATGTTCACATCACTAAAATCCTTGCCAAAGCATTGAAAAAGCTAGGCATTCTTAGAGGTTCAAGGTTTAGGTTGGATCGGAAATCTTTGGAAATTATGCATTTTTCATATGTACGACCCATCTTAAAATATGCGGATATAATTTGGGGTATTTGTACCTGACACGATTGTCAAGAACTTGAAAAACTTCATTTGAAGGAGGCAGAATTGTGACTGGAGCAACAAAATCTGCATCATCCAATTCTATTATGTTTGAAAATAGGACGGGAAACATTGGCACATAGGCGATATAATCATGGAATGATAACTTTGTACAATATATATCACAGTGCTGCACCAATATTTACAGAATTTTCTTCCTCCTGAGATAGGAGCTGTCCAAGGTCATAACTTTAGGATCAATTTAGATATACGTCCACCATCATGCAAGTAGAACTAATTTTTTCACGACTTCTTTCTTACCCACTTCTATTAGGGAATGGAATGTCATACCAAATTATATCAGAAATTCTCCATTTCTATATACTTTCACAAATTACCTCAACCAACAACATATAAGTTAAAGGCAGTATTACCATACACAACTCTGTCTTGGATGTAGCTCCCTAAATTATCATCTCTATAATAATCGTGTTTCAGACACAGATCTATTCAGATGTGGGCAGGTGGAAACTCCTTCCCATTATTTGATGCAGGGTAGGCTCCTTAATCCAGCTAGCGTGAACACACTAGGAACTTAAAATCTTAATTTGAACTCTAAACTGCTAATTTACGGTGACCCAATTTGTCTCGAGATGATAACATACTTATATTTGATAAGGTACAAAGGTACATTTTAGAGTCGGGTAGATTTTAGATGCCAGTTGGGATCTTTTCATGCACTCTTCATTACCATTCTTTTATAATACCTACCTATGCTCTTTGTTTCAACACATAATTAAACGGTCAGTGTAATATTACAGTTCTATACTGGGACCAACAACAAGCTAAAGAGTCTAGATTAAGATATATAACTGACATTGAAGTAAACTAGGTCAATGTATATCAGTGTATGACAATTTGTAGGTCTGCTTGAACCAATTTTATTTACCTAATATGCCAGCTGCTGTAACAGTATTGTAAAATATGTATGTCATATACAAGGTATAATAAATATTTTGTATACATTTTCTGTTAGTAGTCAACTTACTAATGGTGATAGTTTTGTCACTTGTCTGTACTTCCTGTTGAGTGGCACGACTTCCAGTTTCAATACTTTTGACGTAGAAAGTATACTGCTGTCCTGATACAAATCCTGTCAGTCTGACTGACGTGGCCTTTCCAGCATCGTAGTTTCCTGTTCCGTTAGATAATGGTGGAGTCCAGTGTACCTCGTACCTATTGACCTGGTCACTCCCAGGGGATGGATCCACCCAATGTATGGTTACTGTACTGGTACCCTCTACTCCAACTGCCAGACTTGTTACAATCAACCCATTCACTGAAAACAAGTAAAATATTTATTGATGAATCCACAGATTCTCAGCTAAATTTGAGCGCTTAATTGTTTATAAGTTACACTTCGAAATACATATTAATTCTATTATTTCAATCATTCTCATACTTAAACTGACTTAAATTAAAGTACATGGAGTGTATACCTCCTCCAAAACCATCCTATGTGAATAACCCCATCAGGCTAGGCCCAACTTGCTCCCTGAACCGAAGTCAAAAATTCAATATTGACAAAGGAAAAGAGAATGCAAAGGGGATTGGGGGAACTAATATTATACAAGGGTTGAGTTTCATTCATAAACCCTAGTTTTACTGAAAAGGGCAGTACATAAGACCTGATAGTTATAATTGAACCACAAACTCAAGACTGTAACATTAAAATCATTCATACATTGTATATTATAGTAATGAAATAGCGATGGGCAAAGAAGGCCACTTTTCTGAGCTTGAAATATGTCTTTTGATGCTGTTTAAACTAGTAATTTAATCACTTATAGACAAAATGTTATATGGCAATGCTTTTTGTGCATTATAAAACAAGAGGCCCTGAGGGTCTGTATCGCTCTCCTGAACATTTAAGCAGTCATAGCAAAATATTCTCATTAAATATT